TCACATCATCTTATCATTGTTGTGTTTCTGCCCTTCTACAGGCTACAATGAGAGAGAGAGAGAACATATAAGATAAATAAATTGTTATATATATTAATATACACATATATATGGACACGTATGCACACATATATAACAAATTATTTCTCTTATACGTTCTTACTTTTGTTCCTGTTGAAGGGCAGAAATGCTCGAAAGCGCAAGAATGATATATATCTTTACGCCGCCTCGAACAAGGTGAAAAACTCCGCAAGAAGAATATCCACTGACCTTAGCGAAGAAGTTGCCTTCAGGCCGCTCAGCAAAGAAGCTCATGAGTGTCATGAACTCGTAAAGGTTGAAAAGGTTTGTCATGGGGCCCAGCACGAGGTGTCGGAAGTGGTGTCCCATCTTGAGCAGACACATCTGGGTGCGATAGTGGTCCAGGGTGTGCTGATACCCCGTGTAGTAGTTGAACCGCCGGCGGGTGAGGGTGCGGTCGCCCAGACGGAACTTGTGCCACACCCGCTGGGAGTAGAAGGTATCGTTCCATCGCCAGCATACCTGCTCCAACACTCTTTATATTGACATGGGTTTCTTCAATTACTACATGATATGTATGTAGGCCACACTAAGTTGCCCTTGAAGTTGGAAATGTACTTCTAAAAAAGGATGAACCTATACTCATGTATAAAACTTAAGTGAAAAATCTTTAATATCGCCGATCATCTGTTTTTTTTTTTTTTTTAAGAATACAGAGGCAATTTTGTTTATATTTGGTTATCTCGTGTATCTTCAATAAAGGTCACTGTAATATCTTTCAGAGTTATTGTCTGAATCCCGATATACATGATAAAGGGTACAACTTCTTTAAGTTTTGTCCATGAATGTATATTAGGTCAAAATTATATAAAATGTGGAAGGCAAGGAGGAAGTTACCACATAATTTCTCCATGTAAATCCCCAATGAAGGGACCAACTAAACCATCACATCGTATTCCCATCAGATATGGCGATGGATTGATCGTCCTGGAGGAGCCTATTAGAGGAAGGAACACCAGTCTTAGAACTGAATCATCTGAGAAAACTAGGAGGAAGGTTGATAACAATAGTCGCTTACGACTTAATGATACACATCAACAACGTAGATACGTTTAAGGAAGTTAAACTTCATATAGGTAATGGAATTAAGGATTCTATCATAGTTAACCTGGAAGTAAAACTAGTTTATTTCGACCTATATTTCCATATAAACCACACAAAACCTTACAACACGCCAAAATAAATCACACACCAACAGAAATAATAACATGGATACTCTAAGTAGGGTTCTTATCCATGGTAGAAGGACAAAAACCAGTAGTTGTATCAACAGTTCCTACTTAACAAAGAGATAGGTGTGAATCTACCTTCAGCCTCTACAGATATGTTAGGTATCTCCAATCTTGTCTCTCTATGGTTCTACTTCAAGGAGGGGAAACATATTCTAAATAAAAGTTGATGAGAATCTGGAAGGTTGATCTCACCTGAGAACAGGAGTATCTGTCGCTGATGGAGAGACGGGCGAATATGTCCTCGAGGATAAAGTCGGGGAGGAGCTCCCACATGTCATTGCAGTACCCTGCACCCACCCACATGTCATTGCAGTACCCTGCACCCACATCGATCATTGTAAACCCCTTATATATCAAATCCCTACCCAACCTACCAATACAAACTTTAAGACAACAACAGCCCAATAGTAGCTCTAGATAACTCGGGTGGGGTTCCTGGAACGTAAAACGCCACCTACCCAGACAATTGTAGAGCTCTTGTAGATTAAATGTTTGTAACCTCTAGATATTTAACCACTAATGTGCCAGGACTTGCCAATCCTTCATCATCTTCATCAAACCACAAGAACAATATCCTGAAATCATAGTATTTCTAGTGGGCGTTCTGAATTTACCAAATAAAAATAAAAATACATGTTGAAATGGGCCTTTTTAATTAAATATTCAACTAGTTTTCGAAAATTCATTCCTCAGGCCTACTGAATCAGTAAATATCGATGCTTTAAAAGGTACTAAAGATTTCTTTCAACACATAGATATCTTTTATATCATCGCTGTTTACTGATTCAGTAAGATTGGGGAAGGATTAGTTCTTGAAAGCTTGCCGAATATTTCATAAAAAAAAAAAAACACACACACACATTGAAATTCTTCTTTTGTGCTTTTAATACGTAAAGTATCTTTGAAACCTCATTTTGGAAGACAGTGTAAAAAAAAAAAAAGAACAAACACATATTACTGAGAGATAACTACCATTAATTTAAACATTTACAACCTGCAAAAACCTAGAATTCCATTATCCCATAGACCCATCATACAATTGCAAACTGCGCTGAGAGCCAGTACAAAAGGAGTATATGGTTTTATGTAAATATGTAAATATTATGTCCAACCTTCGCTATGTATATTAGATTGATTTTGTTGTCCTTGTATAAGCATTTATTGAAAAAGACAGCGATATCGGTAGTAACGGGGTCTGCAGCAGTGACGACATAGTGAGGGAGAGGGTAGTGACATGTAGTGACAGTAGTGGGGTGGGTGCAGCGGGTCAAGGCAACCAGCCTCTATTAGCAGCTCTCCCTCCTCTATATTTATCCCGGACAAAGAAGCCTTCCCCCACATTATGTAAGTTGACGGAACCTTGAGACGTGCTGCTCTTGTCTATTTCTTCTTCCTATTTTTATCTTCTTCCTAGCGGAAATTTATTGGGCCGGAATATCGCGTTCGAATCTCGTTGTAAGAAGTTCTTTTGTACCACAGTGCATTTGCCGGAACATTACTAAATTGTCGCGTTCGAATCTCAATGTAAGAAGTTCTTTTGTGCCACAGTGCATTTGCCGGAACATTACTGAATTGTTACGTTCAAATCTCGATGTAAGAAGTTCTTTTGTACCACAGTGCATTTTTTGGAACATTACTGAATTGTCGCGTTCGAATCTCGATGTAAGAAGTTCTTTTGTGCCACAATGCATTTGCCGGAACATTACTGAATTGTTACGTTCGAATCTCGTTGTAAGATGTATTTTGTGCCAGGAAGTGTGATTTCTGAAACTAGGCATGCTTGCTGAAAATATTGACCTTCCCTGCTCTAGGTTGTCATTACTTGGGTGATGAGAATAAATAGCAAATATTTGCCCCAAACTCTAAATATCAGCACGAATCAGAATATCTATACAGACTATAAAAGCAATGACCTACTTTATTACAGATTGGGAAAGCATTCGATCAATTTTTTTTTGTGTGTTTTGTGGCAAACCTTTTCCTCCTAAATCATCTGGGATTCATTTAGGATTAGGATATTCTCTTGAAACTCTTTCTTTTGAAAAATGTTTCGGGGAAAAAGTTATTGTTTTAATCAATTTCATAATCCTTTTCAGGTGCTATTTCATCGGTCTTCATTGAGTTTTGTTATCTTTCGAGTTTCTTCAAAAGTTTGGGGTTATTCAGTGTATTGCTGATAAAAGTATTTACACCTTACTAAAAATAAATAATAAATTGATGTAGCTATATTTCTTCCAAACATGCTTCAAACCAACAAATGATCTTCAAAATTACTGATTACAATTTTGAAAGCTAAAATTTACTTTATTTCTGAAGATGTATATACAAGTCTATGTATGGTCGAGGTACCATGTTTGGTTGCCATTTCTTTCGAGCTTTATCTTTTTCTCTGATACTATTTTAAATTAAAATTTATGGCATGGATGGTTTAGATAAGCTTTTTAAATAAATATTCTTAGAATAAATATTTTATGTTTTTTTTTTTAAGATCACATGAACAAAACTTAAGAAGGTGGAAAGTCTTTGATATCGCTGCGGTCGTCTTTTTTTTTTTGAAGGAGACAGAGACAATTTTGTTCATACTTAATTATCTCGTATGTCTTCAATAAATATCACTGTAATATCTTTCAGAGTTATTGTCTGAATCCCGATATATATACATGCTTTAAAGGTACAACTTCCTTAAGTTTTGTCCTTGAGTGGATATACGGGGAGTAGTCGCCCAGTAATTTCTAAACATCTGGTTGATAGACAAAAGCATAATCTTTTTTTTTTTTTTTTTACTTTTGGAGAACGATGCGCAAGGTTTCGATCAAAATTTCTCTTTTAATGACTAATTTTTTTGTCATACTGTAATCAGCCAGTGGAAGAACAATTTTTTTTTCCAAAACCTTGCTTCTCCCCATAAACATAAAAAGATCGCTTCATCAAACAGCCAATTGTTCTTATTTTGAGATTTCCTATCATATAGTGCACCACTCTACGATTGTTTGAATTTAAAGATAGATAGAGAAGTCCATCGCGTAAAGAAATCATCAAGTCATATGTTGTGTATTATTTATCATTGATTTTCTATACTCTTTTTTTATATTTTACGAATAAATGAACTCAGTATATTTGGTTAAACTTATACGAATAAAAGATTACACGGAAAAGAAGCTCCTCGTGTAATCTTTTATTCGTATAACTCTTTTTTTATCATCATTCACGTACTAATCAAAAGATGTTTCGAGGATAAATTGTTTCTTTTAAGACGGAGTCCTGCTTCCTTGAAACGCAAAATAATTTTTCAGTTTTTTTTTTCTTAAGATCATCACAGTTTATTTCTGATTGTTATGTCTTTATATTTAAATTTATTCTCGAAACATTTTTTGATTAGTACGTGAATGATGATAAAAAAAAGAGTATAGAAAATCAATGATAAATAATACACAACATCATACTAATTTACATACTCTCAGGTGTCAAAAATAAGATTCCTTCCAGACCTAACTCACTCTGTCTTATAGCTAGGTCAAATTGTGTGAAAATCTACACGGAACAACATATTTAGAAACTTTCATATGTTATATATGATTCTATTTATATTTTTGTTTGTTCACTTGACATGTTTTGCTCTTTTTTTTTTTTTTTGTATATCATTGTTTACCTTGTTGTATATATTCAATTCTCTAATGTATCTTTTTTTCTTTAATGCTACATTGAACAACACGGTTCTCGTCCGATCACCGAAGTTAAGCAATGTCGGTCAGTATTTGGGAGGGTGACCACCAGGTGTGCTGTAGGTTAATTCCTTTTGCGTGACATGCAGAGTTCGCAAAAAGCGAATGATGCACACACACGCGGGAGAAATAAATTTTGATTGGTCTTCCATTCATTCCGCATGCACCATTCGCTGTAGAGTTCGCATAAAGAGAATGATGCACGCTGGAGAAATACATTTTGATTGGTCTTCCATTCATTCCGCATACACCATTCGCTGTAGAGTTCGCATAAAGAGAATAATGCACGCAGGAGAAATAAATTTTGATTGGTCTTCCATTCATTCCGCATACACCATTCGCTGTAGAGTTGGCATAAAGAGAATGGTGCACGCAGGAGAAATAAATTTTGATTGGTCTTCCATTCATTCCGCATGCACCATTCGCTGTAGAGTTCGCATAAAGAGAATGGTGCACGCGGGAGAAATAAATTTTGATTGGTCTTTCATTCATTCCGCATGCACCATTCGCTGTAGAGTTCGCATAAAGAGAATGGTGCACGCAGGAGAAATAAATTTTGATTGGTCTTCCATTCATTCCGCATGCACCATTCGCTGTAGAGTTCGCATAAAGAGAATGGTGCACGCGGGAGAAATAAATTTTGATTGGTCTTCCATTCATTCCGCATGCACCATTCGCTGTAGAGTTCGCATAAAGAGAATGGTGCACGCAGGAGAAATAAATTGTTATCTTCCATTCCTAGCTACCACTCGTGTTGTCTCAGTTAATAGGATTCTATCCATCGCATGTTTATCAGTATCTTACACCATATAGAACAACCTTGTATATATTTTGTTTTAGGATTATATAAGGTTTATATTCAATACATTTTCTGTAGTTATTTGCATATTTGTTAGGCAGAAGGTGCTTGAGACCGACTTGTGGACGTAGAAGAATCACTTAAGTTGATTTAAATCATATCAATGGGAGTATGGTTTTCTATAAGGTAGGTAAGGATTTCGAAATATTTCGAATATTTTTAAATCTTATATTCAGATCTGTATAGCAGATGATATTGGCAATTTTAATGAATCGAAAACCACAGAGAGCAAACGCCCTTTCTCTCAAATAAATCCCACATATAATAATTACCTTTTAGACAACATTTAAAATAACATTACTGTAGCGTTTACAATCGGTTTTGCAATGTATTTGGTAGAGTTTAAGTCAAAAGATACAACACTTACAGAATATTTACATATAGGACATTAGTGTGCCATCTATCGACAAGAAACGAAACTATTTAGTATGTTTTTTCTTTTTCAAAGAAAACACATCCTATTGTCCTTGCTGCAAGGGAAAAATATATTATAGGGCCTGGCTCATCAGTAGCGAACCCCTCCCAGAGGTTTCGTCCTTTTAATCCACCACTCTAATAATGTATTGGAGTATTCTGCTGTCCTGGTGTGGAACTAACACCTACTCACATATTTTCATGCCCAGCAATGGCCGCAGCCTTGCAGAAAATTGACTTAGACCCAGACAGCAGCTTTACACACCCAAAATAGTGAATATTGCTGCTGCTGTGATGGAGATGTATGGAGACATCTGAGACTCTTCTTTGGACACGACAACAACAACAACTATTCTGCTTCCGACACTTTGGTGGACTTTGGGTTGAGGTATTTTAAACAAATCTATGAAAATAAGGTTTGAGGATAGTAGAAATATAAAAGTTTTAATGAATATTACTAGAGAATTTAGACAATATCATCATTTATACTATAGCACAATGCAATTCTTTTACTTATTTTTAAAGCTTGCCAATTTTTCAACAAAAGAAACGCAATGCAAGTATAAGTTGTAATATTGCATAAAATCTATTGTTTCTAGAATGCCGGTCCCCGAGACAGCAAAAAAATGTTCCCACGCCGGGAATCGAACCCGGGCCTTCTGGGTAAAAGCCAGATATCCTAGCCACTATATAAAATCAAAAGACTCATCCAATATGTTTCCATGTACAATAGGAAGTACTTTATTTGAAGAAGAATAAAAAATCGTGCTAAATAAGTTTCACATTTTTAAGGATACTCTGCACAATGTGTGTTAGTTGGGCGGGAAGGTGATCACGTGGGTTAGTAGAATCAAACGACCATGGTTACCTCCGTTGGCAGACGATGAACTATTCCTGGGGAGGAGGAGGTCACGTGACGGGGTTTTCAAACTTGGCGGAACTTCCGGGCGGTGGTCCAGGCCGCCAGGGGGCGACAACTTCCTCCTTTGTTAGTGTCGTCTGCTTTGAAAATATAGAATTCTTTTGTTTGTTTGCGGCGACAATGTCTTTGAGAAATATAAGGTCACAGAGACGGGTGGTTTCCACGTCTCTTTACGATCAATAATAGTTTATTCTCTAATGTTCTGTATTTCTATGTACAATCCTGATACAGTAACAAAACTAACTGCAAAAATTCAACAATAACGTCCCAGCCTATTTACATTCATGGAAAAAACATTAGTGGAAAGTATTTGAGGTCGCCGGTCGTCTAATTTTTTTTTTTTAAGGAGACAAGGCATTTTTTGTTCACACTTGGGTTATCTCGGGGGGGGGTCTTCAATAAATGTCACTGTGTATCAAATATCTTTCAAAGTTATTGTCTTGATATGAATGATAAAAGATACAACTGACTTAAGTTTTATCCATGAGTGTATTCTCCTTGTTAAAGTATTGAATATGATATTTTGGGACTGTAGTATTTATCTTAACTACATGATAATCATGGTGGGTAGTATTGGCAATTGTTTTTATTGTAAGTGCACCACATGTCTACACAGATAGAATGCAGTTCAGCTTTTGCACTTACATGTTTGCCAGACCCTTGTTACTTGCACTCACTGGTGGGGTTAGACTTTTGCAAAATTTGGGGACCATTGGAGCAATTATTTTATTAAGAAAAAAGTGCTCAATATGGGATTCAATCCTGTTGGGTGGATCACAATTATCATTCTCTTCTAAAAAGATAAATCTTCTTTATTGAAGGTTAAAAACTAAATAATTTAAATGAACATAATTTTCTAAATACAGTTAAACCTGTCTATAGCGTCCCCTCTAAATAGCGCCTTCCTCTATATAGCGCCCGATTTTAAACATTAAAATATAAACATTTTACATTAAAGGTGACCTGTCTATAGCACCCCCTCTTTATAGCACCCTATTCTAGTGAGTCCCAAGAGGGGGAGCTATAGATAGGTTTGACTGTATATCTAATTTAGACTTATCAGGAAAACCTACCTCTCTAACAGTATTTATGTTTTATACACCTATCCCCTGATTTACACGGTACTTGTTTTACACATTTTCGCTTTTACACGGTTTTCCAAATAAGTTTTTTGTTTTTTGTTTTTATCGAACTATACTAAATGCTACTGTGATTGAAAACCTGCGCTGTGTACACATCTCACGAGGAATTCCGAGCTTATGTGCTGACTTGCTGCACACGCACACTGTGTCTGTATTTCTTCGCATAAAAAAATTGCAAAAATTTTTAATTTTCGATTTACACGTTTTTCTCAGGAACGTATCTACCGTGTAAATCGGGGGATAGGTGTATGTAAATCTCCTAAATATCAATTAAACAAGTGTCAGGAGCTGAGTTTCTTATTAGAGATTTATTGACTTGCTTAATATCTATTAACTTACACACCGCTCTATATTAGCTCACACAGTTAAACCTGTCTATAGCTCCTCTTCTTGGGACTCACCAATATAGGGTGCTATAGAGAGGTCACTTTTAATGTAAATCGCATCGTACTATGTATTTAAAATCGGGTGCTATAGAGAGGAAGGCTCTATTTAGAGGGGGTGCTATAGACAGATTTAACTATATATATATTCCTGACACCACAGATTATAAAGTTACAGATTAATATAATCATAGAGAATAAAAATTTATATTTTAACTATAACATCCAACAAATCCTTCTCTTCTTCTTCTTTCTTATCTCCACTCAATCATATTAAGGTATCAAGCTTGTAAAGCTTGAGACTTTTGATGGTGTCTCCCGAGAAGAGTAGAGCTCATCAATGGATGAATCAATACAATCCTGGCTGTCAAAGATCTACAGTTTATACCATTCCTTCACCATGACATCAACACTGTTACCAAAACATCACATATACTTTGATTGTTTAACTTTGTTACCTTCCTTTTCTTATCTATATAATCCAAATTGTACCATATCACAACTTCTATTTAAAAGACAACACCTAGTTGTATTGATAAGGCACAATTTGGATTATAGATTATAAACATAAGGTAATAAGACCAAATCCAAATAAATAAATAGTGTGTGACGTTTCGGTAACAGCGTTGTTACCATCTTCAGACAAAAGTACTGAATGAGAAATTTTAGCACAGCATGTTTTAAATAGCTACTGTTATCAAGTGCTGTGGTAAAATTTCTTATTCAGTACTTTTGTCTGAAGATGGTAACAACGCTGTTACCGAAACGTCACACACTATAAATTTATTTGGATATGGTCTTATTACCTTGTTTTACCTAGTTGTATAGTTGTACTATAGAGAGAGGTGTCTCCTTCTTTAACCAGAGAGCATTTAATTAGTCAAAATGGTAATTTTGGTAATGTAAACTGTTCTTTGTGTAGAGGTGCTCACTAGCAGGTATGTCCTCTCATGGAGGTTCTAGTGTATCACAATGTTATGGTCTCAAGTTTTAGATACCAATAGAACCTTGGTTCCAAGTGATAGTATTCTAATGAGTCTAGACTATATTTACACATACAGTAGAACCTCCATGAGAGGACACCCACGCTAAGAGGACACCTCTCTACAAAGGACAGTTTTCATATCTAAAATTACCATTTTTACTATTTACCAACTCTCCGGTAGGAGGACAACTCTCCTTAAAGGATACTTTGGCTCTGTAATTAGGTGTTCTTTACAGAGAGGTATATTGTACATCTATATATATAAAAATGAATATTTGTATGTTTGTTTGTTTGTATGTCCGGTATAAAAATTCGCAGTAGTTCACTAATTCAAACCAAAATTTCCATAGATAGGTAAAAA